AAAATAAAAAAAATTTTAAAAGGTTCTTGATTTTGTTTTTCATTTTTTCAAACACACATTAATCATTCAGTAACATGTTATTTAGTTTCATTGCATTGTTAATTTCTGTTTTTCTCCCTGTTACTGATTTTGTATTGTGGCTTTTCATTTAAGGGGATGTCTAGTAACTGTGTAATGGAGACTATCATATCCAGAAGTGAGGACATAATGCAGTACGCATCTCTACTTCCAGATCAAAGATGGAGTCCCAATGAAACTGTGAAATATATCTTGACAATAGGATTGACTCTCTGCCATTGTCTTATGTCCACAATGATGGACTTATGACTATTTATGAAGAATTATAACAGGAGAACTCTGAGGGGGAAGAAGATTTGGGGAGGAGGTAAGGGAAATCCCAAGGCCTAAGGAATTGTATTATAAAATTACAATTATGATAAGAAATGAAGAAAAAAAGTTATGCTGGCCAATGTGGTGGTGTAGCATGGTAATTTTGCCTGTTGTGGCTGTAACTTTGGTTTTCAAGTACAAATAAATTTTAACAGAAAGTTAATTATGATTATGGTGCATCACATTTTTCTTATCTAATACCCTCAAAATCCATTACTAAGTTCCTTGCTTGTGGCCTGGGAAAGCAGTGGAGGACAGCCCAAAGATTTGGGACTCTGAACCCACGTGAGAGATCTGGAAGAGGATCCCGGCTCCTGGCTTTAGAGTGATGCAGCACTGGCTGTTGTGGTCACTTTGGGAGTGAATCATTGGACGGAAGATCTTCCTCTCTGTCTCTCCTCCTTTCTGTGTATCTGACTTTGCAATAAAAATAAATCTTTAAAAAATAAATAGTAACATCTATTGTATGATATAAAAGGAGACAGTGCATAATAAGCATACGGAACAATGTTCAAAGTCATGATTCTTTCCTTGGTCTCCCTTTTGTTTCATTTTAACACTAGGTGGCAGTAATGATCTCTTGTCCAATTAAAATGCCAACTGAAGTTTTGGTAACGGTGAGATGAGTGAAAGTTTTACCCAGCAAGATGTGTATAGGGCGCCTGCAAAGCGGGAAGAGGGATTGAGATAGGGAGTCATGGAAACCAAGAGGGAGAGAAAAATTTTTAGAAAAGGATTTTATATTTCAAAAATACTGAAACAGTTATTATGGAGGAAAATCAGATTTTTATTGGACAATCTCCAACCTTTTAGGAAACTCTATATCACTTCATGTTTTTAAATACATGCTATTCTAGCATGTATTACCATCGTGACACTGGCATTCCATGCCAAGGTGCCAGTTTGAGAGCCAGCTGCTCTTCTAATGCATTTTCTTGCTAATGGACCCGGGAAGCAGCAGCAGACAGCTCAAACACTTGGGTCCTTAACATCCATGTGCTACATACTGGGATGGATTTCCTGCTTCTTGGCTTTGGTCTGATGCAGACCCAGCTGTGTGGGCCATCTGGGGGAGGAACCAGCAAACGGAAGATCTCTGTTCTTCTCTCTTGCTTACTGTCTTCAAATAGTGTAAAAGTACATCTGGTAAAAGTATACACACACACACACACACACACACACACACACAAAAATACAGAGGTATATTTGTGTTGGCAATATTAAGGATTTTAGGTGGTCCTGCATGACATTTAGCAAAATCAGCAACATAGTAAATGTCTACAAAGCATGTGTTTGTTCATTGACATCTCAGTATATCTCCATAAGAAAACTTTGGCCATTTTCTTCCATGGAAAACATTTTTTCTCAGTATTATCTGTTGCTGTGTGACTATGACCCCAAAGTTGGTGTTTCCCAGTGACAACCATTTTTTTCCCCCGAGTGCGAGGTGGTGGTTCTGCTCATGGTCTCTCATGTGGCTTCAACCAAGACAAGCTGGGGATGTAGGTGTCCAGGGGTCAGACCAAGCTTTGGAGGCTCTGCGTCCAAGATGGCTCACTCCCAAGGCACGTCCATTTGTCCATAAGACAGTGTGAGGGCCTTCCCCAGCGTGGCAGCTGGTTTTCCCAGTGTGAGTGATCTGGGAGAGGGGCAAGTCACAATACCTTTTATGACCTCATCTCCAAAGTCTGGCATTGAACTTCCATTGTATTTGTTCACAGTGAGTCACAGGAAAGAACACAATCGCTAGGGATTTTATACTTACGCAGGAAATGGAGTTTCTCACGCGGGGAAATCACGGGCTGTGGGATATCCTTCACTGTGGCTCTGAAGCCATCGCCTGCTGTCCCTGGACCCTGACTGTTTTAAGAACAGCCACAGGCGGATGAGGTGCCTCAGGCTAAGGTGATTTGCCTCTACCCTATCTGGTGCAACCTCAGGTGACTTTTTTTTTTTTCATTTCTAAAAGGAAATGATCTAAGACAGTAGTTTTCAAACTTTTTACAGTGTATTTAGCACTTAAACATCCACATATGCATGTATATCTGTATCCATATAGAACAGAAATCAAAGTTCCACAGAACTTACATTGATTTATGTGCTATAACTCATTATTTCCTATTTGATGTTAGTTAATTAAAATAATTTAAAAAATAATGTAAAAACCAACTATACTAGTCTAAACCATCCAATAAGCGTTTCATCTTTATGTGAAAAACCAAACCTGGACCTTATTTCTGGGTGATTTTCCACTGGGACTACAAAGAGAAGTGTTAGCAAGAGTGAGCAAGACTTCAACTTCCAACTACTCATTGTAATATGAGAGGGGAAATCAGTGGTGAGGGGAAGGGACTTGGGGAGGGAAATCCCAGAGCCTATGGAACTGTATCATAAAATATACTTGGTCTTAGCCAAAAGGCTGAGAAGTGATGCATTATAAAATAATAATAATAATAATAGACTTTACCTTCCAGTTTGTGGCACGGAGAAAAGCATCTTGTAAAGATGGGTCAACCTTGGGCCTGGAGTGGCAGCCTAGTGGCTAAAGTCCTTGCCTTGCATGAGCCAGGATCCGATATGAGAGCTGGTTTGTATCCTGGCTGCTCCACTTCCCCTTCCAGCTCCCTATCGTAGCCTGGGAAAGCAGAAGACGATGGCTCAAAGCCTGGGGACCCTGCACCTGTGTGGAAGACCCAGAAGAAGCTCCTGGTTTCAGATTGATTCAGCTCTGGCCATTGCAGCCACTTGGGGAGTGACCCAGCAGATGGAAGGTTTTTCTGTCTCTCCTCCTTTCTGTAAATCTGACTTACCAATAAAAATAAATAAACTTAAAAAAAAAAGTGGGTCAAGCTGGGAGGCTATTCTGGGAGCTGGCTTAAGTGGACAGTGTATGGTGTTTAGCCTTAAAAATTGGTTCTGCTTCTCACCATGTGACTTTGGCTAGGCCAAAGCAGAATCCCCAAGGCCAATGTCATAGAGTTGTGTCCAGGCTCACAATTAGGTAATTGGGTACTCCCTGTGTGACAGAGAAGTGAAATACTTGCTCTTTGATGCTCACAATCAACCAGGAGAGAGATTATCTTTGTTTTATAGGCGAAGACAGATGGACATAAGTGATAGAAGCAAGATTTTCAAGTTAGCTGGTGGCAGAGCTAGAATCCAAAAACGTGTCCCGACGGCAAACCTTGACGCCACAGGTAACAGCCAGCCATTTCCTGTGACCTCAACTGGTGCCATCAGATACATAGATATGACTCATCCGGGAGTCGCCACAATGGAGTGACTTTAGAAACTGGTCTACCAGGTCACATTTCCTGACTCAAATATGAGCTGTTAAGATGAACACATTAAACATCACCCGTGGGCCCCCGTGATCCACCAGTACTGACCACCACCAACAGTAGAGTACGGTATCCACTCTCCAGGGTCGCTAGAGACCCAACATCCAGCACAGCCCTCTGGGCACATTTCTTTAAAAAAAAAAAAAAAGAAAACCAGGGAGAGAGCGCTCAAACACTCGCAACAGCAGGGGCTGGGTCAGGCCCAAACCACGAGCCAGAACTCCTGTCGGGTCTTCCTAAGGTGACAGGGACTCAAGTACAGGTTTGCAGTTTCCCAGGGTGGACAGGGGAGCTCCCTGCCTGACTGGCCTCTTCCCAAATGTCTTCCACACACTGCCGCGGACACTGAGCGAAGGGCCCTGCGTTGGTCCTGCTGCACCTCAACCTTTCCTCTGCTCGGGCCAGAAACCCAAGCCTCAGGCGGAGCCGGCACCACAAAGCCCTTTATTGAGCGCCCCCTGAGTGACGCGGGGGAGCGCCCGCAGTTCCGGCCGCCAGCAGGAAAGAGGTGAGGTCCCCGCCGCGCGGGCTCGCGGCGTGCGCGCGGCCCTGTGCGCCTCGGCCGGCGCGCGCTCACCTTTGCCCGGCGCGCGCTCGACCTGCGTCCCTCCTCAAGCTCAGGTACTGGGGTCGCCGGCATCGGCGCTCACCCCGACCACCCCTCAAGCTCAGGTACCGGGGGTCGCTGGCCTTAAGCTAAGGCACGGAGGCCATCGGTTCGCATTCAGCCCTCGGCCGGCGCGCGCTCTGCTCGCGTACCTCACCCCAGGATCCTGAGGTCGCCCGCCCACTCGCCCGGGACTTGGGGCCCCGCGTTCCCGCCGCGTGGGAGGATGGGCGCGGCCCGGGCCAGCCTCAGCGTCCCCCTTGGCCTCGGGCTCTGCCTGCCCCTCCCTGGAACCGGTTTCTGCAGCCAGCTGCACGCCTCGTCCCACGTCGACGTGCCAGGGCAAGGACGCGGCGGCGGCGGGGCTGAGGGCTGACGCTCCCGTCTCCCCTCCGTTTTAGTGGAGCCTCGGGAAAGCGGGAGAACCTGGGGAAGGACTGCCTCGTGGGTAGGGCCCAGGTGGGCCTCCTGCTGGTGGCTGCTCTGGCCCCTGCAGCTAACACGAACCTTGCTTCAGGATGGCAGCTCTCGCGTTTGCCCTCTGTAGGATGGCAGGACATGAACAGTTTTGTTCGTGGAAAATGAAGAACGCAGTTGTAGGGTCAGGGGTCAGGGCCGGTCAGCCACTTCTTAGGGACTCTTTCCGTTCAGAACTGCCTTGGGGGCATCTTTTTTTATTATTTGGTTATGCAGATATTCAGGTGAAAACTGTTAATGAGGTACATTGAAATCATTTCAGGCAAAGTGAACCAAGTATCTGTGACATCTCTCAGGCTCCCGAGGCATTTGGGTAGCAGTCCGCCATGGCTTATGGCTTGCCAAGAAAGAACACAGTGAAAACCATTTTGAGGGGCAGTTGTTATAATGTGTAAGTATTTTTTTTTTTTAATCTAGGTAAGCAGTGAGAGTTGGGGATGGGGATTATTTTGGCTAAGAATAACAGTATGGGACTGTATGAGAGGAACTGTGATCCAGCCAGGTATCGGGATCCTAGGCTTTTTTTTTAAATCTGTGGTTTGCTCTATAGATACAGGTGCACTGGTGGATAATTATGAGTTTTATTATTATTATTCTTTAAATTACTTGAAAGGCAGAGTTACTGTGAGACATTGATTTTCCACCCGCTCGTTCACTCCCCAGATGGAAGCAATGACTGGAGCTGAGCCAATCTGAAATCAGGAGCCAGGAGTGTCCTTAGGGCCTTCCAGGCAGTTGTAGAGTTCCAAGGCTTTGGGCCATCCTCTGCTGCTTTCCCAGGGTATAAGCAGGGAGCTGGAAGGGATGTGGAGCAGTTCTGAGACAGGAACTGGCACCCACATGGGATGCTGGCACTTGCAGGCAGAAGTTTAGCCAATTAAACCACTGTGCTAGACTCCAGGACAACTGCTGTTGTAAGGATACACAAATGATCTGACTTGGTCTTTACAACAAAGCAATACTCTGAAAAGACGGAAGTCTGAAGGGCAAGTTCAGTCAATGTCAGCCATGTAATGAGGTCCAGGCTAGAGTGTCTGAACTGTATTTTCTGCTGCTGTGCCCCCCATTATCTTAGGATAGTCCAAATCTACCTTTAAAACGCTCTGGTGGTATACAGAACCAGTTGTGTACATTTCGATATAGGCAATTCATAGTCATTACTTTGCGATAATTTTATTTTTCAAAAAAAGATTTATTTGAGCAGAAAGAGTGAGTGGGAGAAAGAGGAGACCTTCTGTTTTCTAGTACTTTCTCCATATGATCAGATCTTAGGCTGAAGCTAGAAGCCAGGAAACTTCTCCCAGGTTTTCCCTGTGGGTGACGGGCACCCGTGCATTCTCATCTTCTGTTGCCTTCTCAGGCAGGGGAGTTGGGAGGTGGATCAGAAGAGAAGCAGCCAAGCCTTGAAATGATGCTATGATATGGGGTGATATTGTAGCCGTAAGCTTGACCTGCTATACCACAGCAAGTACTGGCCCCAACCGTTTTTCTCCAGCTGGGCTTCAAGCCTAGCCTTGCCCTTGGGTCTCTGTGTTTGACTTCCTCCTTTGTACAGTGGGCACATTAGCCATGTGTAGATGAAAAGGAAGTCATTCGTGTGATGCGGTCACATTGCCTGGAATATTGTGAACAGGCAGTGAACATGTGTTGCTGCCACACAGGGCGTTTGCCCTGTAGTACTGTCCTACTACCTTTTGTGAGGTTGGATTCCTGTTCAGAACCAGAACTCCACGCACAGTGGAGTGTAGCTTAAAACAAGCTTTTCTGGGAGCACTCCTGGACGAGGGTCACTGGTCTGGCACGGACAGTGAGCCAGGCAAGTTGTGCCCAAGGGGACGTGAGGTGCTGTTTTCATCAGGGGGCTCTAGGGGTGGGGGTTGCAGGACAAAGCAATGTGCCTTTTAGAGTGTCCGAGGCTCCCTTTGACCTTGGTGGATCTGTGTGGCACTGCTGGGGTGCTGCCTGCCTTCTGGTACGGCCTTCTCAGCCACCCACCCTCCTCAGCCTCCTCCTAGGCTGCCCCATGCCCACCCCAGCAGGGCCTTACACCTTTCACTTTTTAAAATGTTTGCACTTGCTTTATGTGATACTGTTTACTGCCTCTTTATACCATTTACAGGTCAGTTGAATTTGCCTTTTTAACAATAGTCTAAGAAGCAGGTAGGTTCCTACAGAATTATAAAACGAGATATTGGAATAACCAAGAAACCCTTCATCATTTGCGTTTTTGTTTAATTTTGTCTGTTTGGTTAGCCCTTGAGCCATAGGCAATTGTTATGGTAGACAGTTTTTATATAAAGCGATTTCTATTTCTGGAGAATGATTTTTTAAAAGATTTATTTATTTATTGGAAAGTCAGATATACAGAGAGGAGGAGAGAAAGTGAGAGTGATCTTCCGTCCGATGATTCACTTCCCAAGTGAGCGCAACGGCCGATGCTATGCCGATCCGAAGCCAGGATCCAGGAACTTCTTCTGGGCATCCTACACGGGTGCAGGGTCCCAAAGCTTTGGGCCGTCCTCGACTGCTTTCCCAGGCCACAAGCAGGGAGCTGGATGGGAAGTGGAGCTGCCTGGATTAGAACTGGCGCCCATATGGGATCCTGGTGTGTCCAAGGCGAGGACTTTAGCTGTTAGGCCATGTCGCCGGGCCCTGGAGAATGATTTTATAAAGTTATTAAAATCTGTTTATTTTAAAGGCAGGGAGATAGAGATCTACTTGATTCATTTGCCAAATACTTGGAAAAGCTGGGGCTTTGCCAGGCCCAAACCAGGAGCCTGAATCATTAGGGTCTCCCATGTGGATGACAGCAGTCCAAGTGTTTGGGCCGTCACTTGCTGCTTCTCTCAGAGTATGCCGTAACCAGAAGCTGGAATTGGAAATGGAGCTGACCTTGACTCCAGGCACCCTGATATGGATATGGAGATCCCAAGAAACATCCTAACTACTGTGTTAAACCCTCCCATTCCCCCCCCCCCTTTTTTTTTTTAAGATTTTGAGAGTTACAGAAAGAGAGGTTAAATACACAGAGAGTCGGAGATCTTCCACCTGCTGGTTCACACTCCAGATGGCTGTAACAGCCAGCGCTGGGCCAAGCCGAAGCCAGGAGCCAAAAGTTTCATCTGATTCTGCCCTGCGGTAGAGCACATACCCCATGCACCATCTTCTGCCTTTCTCAGGCCATAAACAGCTGGGTCAGCAGTGGAAGAGCCGGGACAGGAACCCGTGCCATATGGGGTAGTAGTTGCTTGTGTGTCCCTAGTAGAGTTAGAGCAGTTACTGCCTGACATGGTAGGTGCTATAATCAACGTTACCTTATCAACAAAGCAGGATTAAGTTTCCTAACATGCATGTTCTAAAGTGTGTTTAGTGAGGCTCTTGGTAGACAGTAAAGTGATTTCTGTATTTGTTTTTGAACAACTTAAACTTACAGGTACATTTTTGTGACTAACTCAAGTCCATCTGTAATAATTACAGACCTGAGTCACTTCCTAAAGTAAGACGGAAAATTATCAAAAAAAACTGGAATAGACGAAGGGGTGGCCTGTGTGACACTGTCCCTTCCTTACTTGAACCGAGGCAGACTCTTCTTTTGTGTTATGTGGGTGAGGACGAACTTGTATTGGCTGCAGATGAGAGGCAGCTGGCTGATATTCTAAGTAGGATTAGGCTAAATAAAACATTTGCTTTGGGCCCAGTACGGTAGCCTAGTGGCTAAAGTCCTTGCCTTGCACGTGCTGGGTTCCCATATGGGTGCCAGTTCATGTCCTAGCTGCTCCACTTCCCATCTAGCTCCCTGCTAGTGGACTGGGAAAGCAGTGGAGGATGGCCCAAAGCCTTGGAACCCTGCACCTGTGTGGGAGACCCAGAAGAATCTCCTGGCTCTTGGCTCTGGATCAGCTCAGCTTTGGCTATTGCAGCCACTTGGGGAGTGAACCAGTGGGCGAAAGATCTTCCTCTCTGTCTCTCCTCCTCTCTGTATATATGCTTTCCAATAAAAATAAATTAATCTTAAAAAAAATTGCTTAATGGGCCTGGCGCGATGGCGCAGTGGTTAAGGTCCTCGCTTTGCATGCCCGGGATCCCATATGGGTGCCGGTTCTAATCCTGGCAGCCCTGCTTCCCATCCAGCTCCCTGCCTGTGGCCCGGGAGGGCAGTCGAGGACGGCCCAAGGCTTTGGGACCCTGCACCCACGTGGGAGACTCAGAAGAGGCTCCTGGCTTCGGATTGGCATAGCATCGGCTGTTGTGCTCACTTGGGGAGTAAATCATCGGACGGAAGATCTTCCTCTCTGTCTCTCCTCTCTGTATATCTGCCTTTCCAATAAAAATAAAATAAATCTTTAAAAAAAATTGCTTAAGGTTTGTAGTGGTTGTTTTGTTTTAATATTCAAGTTATTTATCATTTGAAAGGCAGACAGCTGGAGAGAGAGAGAGACAGAAACATATAGATAGAAAATGCTCTGGTTCATTTGCCAAATGTGTATCAGAGCCAAGTTGGGCTGAGTTGAAGCTAGGAGCTGGGATTGCAATTCGTGTATTTCCCGTGGACAGCGGAGTCACATTGAGGCATCACTGCTTTCTTCCAGGGTCTGCATGAGTGGGGGCTGGAGACAGAGGAGACTGAACTGGGGGTTGTACCTAGGACTGTGATGTAGCCTTAGCCATGGGCAGTAGCCTTAGCCATGGGCAGTAGCCTTAGCCATGGGCAGTAGCCTTAGCCATGGGCAAAGGACACATCCCCTGGTGATTATTTCCCATGTTGCAACTTCACCCCCATCCCTGTAATCCGCACTGGAAGTCCAAAGGTTTGCCATGTTTTTAATCAGCTGTGGAAGGCGTGGTGGCTCACAGTTCATATCCACATCCCATTACCTGGAAAGAGTCTGCTGCCTCCACGGGGGCATCACTGTGAACCCAAGTTCCTGGCATTATCATTTCTGGTTATTTCCACCCCCCCATTTCATCTCTGTATTAGTTACTTTGAGATCTGTCTCTGCTCAGAGTGGCAACTTCCCCAAACCTGTCTCCCTATACACCAGAATGTCCAGTAGCAAGAGATCTGAGAATGAGTATGCTGTCTAGAAAGCACAGTGTAGATGCCGAGTAAACACGTTTGCTGTTGGATGAATGGATGAATTTTTGCTTCAGACAGGAACCTTGGGATCTCGCATTACTTACCAAGACGTGGTACATCAATCTAGCCAACTTCAAGTTGCCTTTCTTGGAAGAAATTAAATATGGCGGTCCTATCAAGCTCATGAAGTGTAAAATTGCCAAGGATGATCTACTCCCTTCAGCGAATTGTACGTTCCTTAAGATCTGTTTTCATAAACCACGCGTGGCACGTGCCATTTGCTTGTCTTCAGAGAAACATGTAAATGTACTTCTGCATAAGCCCCGCCCTCCCGCTTACCTTTTGTAGTCTTAGCTCGTTCATCATTCAAAGATGTGAACTCTGGCTGTGTGACACTGTTGGGACTAGATTACACCTGATGAGAATGTCAAATTGCTTCATGTATTTTTCTTTTCCAGCCATCAAAACTGAAAGGGAATATGAAATGAAGCGCCTGACTAATCTTCAACGTCAAGAAAACACATCCGAGGAGGTCCGGGGGTCCCTAAGAGGAAGGAAAGCTGGCTTGAGAAGGCCTCTTCCGCCCAAGTCTCAAGCCCCTGCCAGTGGAGTCTGTCCTGTCCCCTGTGTCAGAGCAGATGGAGGTCCTGAGACTTTGGCTGTGACCAACTCAGTGCAGAGCTATGATTACGTCCTGATCTGATGGGTGAGCAGGTGCCACACGCACGGGCAGGTGGAGGTTCCGACAGGGCCGCCGCCCGCTGACGGCACTCCGCTGCCGGCACTGTGAGTGGATGAACACGCCTCCGAGGCAACTCACTTAAGCCGTGCAGTTTTAATGTTCGTAGACCTGCATTAGGTGAAAAGAAAAACTCCTTGTGAGAGGCATTATTTTGAAGCAACATTTTGAGTTTGTATCTTTGAGAATCCCAAGAAGGGACTGAAGGAAAGCAAGGGAGAAATCCCCTTGAAAATGCTAAGTGCTGGACATTTTCATTTGGCTGAAAAATAGCAGATTCCATTTTAAACAGTTCTCCAGTTTCTGTTTTTCCTTTTGAAGTGATACACCACTTTCATACTTTCAAGTGGTGTGTTAAACTTACCCCGTTTTTTTCGTTCTGCCTGATTTCCTGTATCTGTTTGCGTGAGCTAGGGCCACGTGGAACACGTATTTATGTATGTGAAAGAAAGACATGGAAATACAAAGGAAGGCTTATTATGAGAAAGACAGATATGTATAGACTGGGGGAGAATGGGGAAACTGACTGACTGGGATGAACTGATTTTTCTAGAACTTGAATGCAATAAAGCATACCTGTAAATTAAGGTCATATTTTAGGATAGTTTGTTCTCTTAATTAAAAAGAAAATTGTTTCACTTATTTCAAAGGCACAGAGAGGGAGCAGGGGATAGATAAATTTTGCATCTGCTGGTGCACTCCCCAGATGGCCGCCACGGCCGAACCAGGAGCTTTTGCTGGATCTCGCACATGGGTGCAGGGACTCAAGTACTCAGTCCATCTTCTGTTGCTTTCACAGGCACATTAGCAGGGAGCTGAATAGGAAGTGGAACAACTGGGACTTGAACCAGCACTCGTGTGGGATGCCAGTGTTGCAGGCCATGGCTTACCCCACTGAGCCACAGCACTGGCCCTTAGCATGGTTTAGTGTGATTCAGTAGCCATTTTAGGATCTTCTGATAATCTTGCCCTCAATGTGAAAGACACTGTGGCCTAGTGTTTAAGCAAGCAGACCTCAGACCTTGTTCCTTCCCTTTAAATCCCAGGTTGATTGCTTATAACAGTGTGACCTTAGGGTAAGTTACTTTGTTTCTGAGTTTACATTTTCTTCTGTATAAAATCAGAATCGTACTAGTACTGACTTCATGGGGTTGTCATGAGGATAAAGTAAAAGCCACTAGGCCGACAAAAAGCAAATTAGCCTAACGTTAGCTATTGCTGTGAGCAGCACAACATGGTACCACTGTGGTCTAGGTATAATACTGGGCTGTGCATTAGTCAGATTTTGTCACTGTAATGAAATTTAAAAAAGGAAATGTTTTTATCTCACAGTTTCTGAGGACTAAGGGTGTGGTGCCTGCGCTGATTCACTCCTCATGAGAGCTCCTCCCTTGGCGACATCACATCATGACACATGACAAAGAGGAGAGTGTTGGTGTGACTTTAGGTCCCTGGAGTAGGCAGGCAGGCTGGGCCCGCTCCTTCTAGAGCAGCTGTCTTACGAGAACTGTTGTCAAGAGGTAGCATGAGAACCACTTACCTTCTCAGCAATCTAAGAACCTCCCACAAGACCATATCTGTTAAAGCTTCCACCAGTTCCCAGTAGCACCTCTGGGTACCAAGCTTTCGTCATGGACCTTGGGGGATACCCCGACCATATTCACATCCTAGCAGGCTGACCCTCATACCTTCATGGTAATAAGCAGTCTTGAATTTTCTAAAATGTATTTTGTTCTCAATATATAGTACTTGCAAGATCATTTACTTGGGGTTCTAATTTAAAATATGCCTACTGTGTCTGTGGCAGATGCTGATCATAGATGTTTCAAAAACATAGTTCCCAATGGTCAGCTTGTTACTGATGTCTGTGCCTTAAATGTAGACTTGGGGCGGGGGGACCATTGTGGCGCAGCGAGTTAAGCTGCTGCCTATAATACGAGCATCCCGTTTTTGAGCACCACTTTTTCTTGAGTTTGAGTTTTTGTTTGAGTCCCAGCTGCTCCGTTTCTAACCCAGCTCCCTGTCTGTGCCCTTAGCATAGCAGCAGAAGGTAGTGTCAGTACTTGAACTCCTGGCTGCTACTCGCATGGGAGACCCAGATGAAGCTCCTGGCTTGGCCCAGACATGGCTGTTTTGCCCATTTTGGGAAATGAATGTATGGGTGGAAGGTTTATCTTTGTCTTTCTCTAACTCTGACTTTCAACTAACTAACTAACTAACTAACTAACTAAATAAATAAATAAATCGATCTGGGGGAAAAAAGCAGAATGGAGAATTGGTATGCAAAAATACCACATCTCAGTGTCACTACGGTGTGAGCCAGCAGCACTGTAAGGCTTTGTGGTCTGCCCTCAGGGGCCCTCACGAAGCCCTAAGCATTGCACACCTCCCCTCATACTGGGTTTGCTTCAGTTCTCCTTCAGAGTGGTTGTGAAGATGAATGGAAGATATGGGTCTGTTTGTAAGAGTGGTTTTATATAAACATTCCAAATATTCCTTCGAGGAAAGGTGAGGTCTGAGAAAGCTTTAGATTCTCAGCATTGGCTTAAAAGAAAAATACCTTCTTGCAACTTTAAGATTCTCCTAACTGTACTTTAGGCAGAGATGCCAAGTCACTTAACTCCACATTACTGAAATAAAATTGTGTTGCAAATGGATTTGAGTAATAATGTGCTTTTGTCTGTCTCTCTTGAAATGCTATAAAATCGGGAGTGGTTTCTTAGGTTATTAGTTGGATGACTAACATGCAGGCACTATGCATTATTTATTTGTTTTATTGATTATTTGAAAGAGTGAGAGAATGTGTGTGTAAGAGAGAGAGAGATGTTACAACTGCTGATTCACTTCCCAAATGGCCACAGTGGCTGGGGCTGCACTGGGCTGAAGTCAGGAATTGGGAACAGTCTGGAACTGCTTTGAGGATACAGAGGCCCAGAGACTTGGACCACATTCTGCTGCTTTTCCAGGCAGCTTGGCATGGAGCTAGGGCAGAAGTGGAGCAGCTGGGGCTTGAACTGGTGTCCGTTATGGGATACCGGGACCTCAGAAATGCCTTAGCCAGCTGTACCGCAGTGTCAGTGCCAGCGTGCCTGTACTGACAGACCACAGGGACAGAGGTCTGGGCAAAGACTGCTTGTCCTTTGATACTTCTTGTGATGATTCCAGGATAGGATTAAATATCTGCTCCGACAGTTCAAGGCCAGTATCAATGCAAAAATACAATATATTACATAAGATACTTTAAATTACTACAATTGAATTAAAACTGGAGACTTCAGCAGGGGGTTGCATTCTATCTCCGCCTTCCTCCTTTTTGCTACTGATGCCACACATTGCTTATTTTATATTGTCTCTCCCATTTGCTAGAGATTTGTAGTTTTTTTTAAAGTGACTTGTTTGGACTCAATGAAACATAAAAGCTGTTTCCATTCCGTATCACAGGATAGCAGATTTCTGCGTTTTGTCTGTTTATCATCACTAGGGGGCTTTATGTTTTTAAATTGTTCTAACATTTTGTTTGAAAGACGGGGGAGTGAGGCAAGTGAGGCAGAGAGCACTTGAGTTGACTTGTTCACTCTTCAAGTGCTGACAGTGGCTGGGGGCAGGACAGGGGCCAAAGCTGGAGCAGTTGGAGATGCACTTCAGGTCCTCCGCACGAGCGGCAGAAGCCACACTCATCCAAGCCGTCACCACAGCTTCCCGGGATCTGTGCTAGCAGGAAGCTGGAGTCCGGAGGCGGAGCCACAGACAGCCCAGGTGCACCTGCGTCAGCTGTGGAAGTCTGGAAGTCTTTGCTGCCAGCTCGAACACTTGCCCCGCCCCCCCAACCTTATACTTTTATTGTAGTTTTTCGTTTTTGCCTCGTGTTGCTCGGTTTCAGTGTGAAAGATCCTCTGGCATTTTTTACAGAATAGGTCTGGCAGTAGTGAACTCCCTCAGCTTTTTGTGTATCTGGGAAAGTTTTAAGAGAAAAGTGTTCGTTTATTGTCTTGGTTTCAGAGGGAGGATTTCACAGGTCTCCCGTGTGAATGCAGGGACCCAGCTGCTTCAGCCATTGTCTGGGGTTCCCATCTCCCTCAATTGTGATTGAAAGTTTTTATTTCCTATTGGTGCTTTGAATATATTGCCCTCTTCTCTTCTGGGCTGCATTTTTTTTTTTTTTCTGGAGAATTCTGCTGATGACCTTTTAAGTATTTTCTTATGTGTAGGAGTCAGATTTGCTGCTTTAAGAATTTCCTGTGATTTTTTTTAATGACTTATTTTTATTTGAAAGGTGGAGTTACAGAGAGAGGAGAGACAGAACTTCCATCCACTGGTCCACTCCCCAAATGGCCACAACAACCAGAGCTGGGACCACCGAAAGCTAGGAGCTGGGAGCTTCACCCAGGGGTCTCCTGTGAGTGCAGGGCCCAGATAGTTTGGCCATCCTCAGCTGCCTTCCTATGTGTTTAGCTGGATAAGAAGTGGAGCAGCTGGGACTTGAACTGGCACCCATTTGTGCTGTATTCAGAGGCTTAGCCTGGCGTGGGGCTACTACTCCTTTATATGGCTTTTAGAAAGTTGTTTTTTTTTTTGAAAGGCAGACTTACAGAGAGAAAAAGAAAATAGAGGGAGAAAAGTCTTTCATCGTATCACTTGCTTCCCAAATTGCCACAGTGGTCACTCTAATACTTTCCCCTTGTGACTTTTGACAGAGTGTTACACGTTTCGGTGTAGGTAACTTTTAGTTTGTGTTTATTAGAGTTCTTTGAGATTTGTGGGTTTGTATGTCCATTTTTTCCTCCAGTGTAGAAAGTTTTTGGCTGGGACTGGCGCGATGGCGCAGTGGTTAAGGTCCTCGCTTTGCATGCCTGGGATCCCATATGGGTGCCGGTTCTAATCCCGGCAGCCCTGCTTCCCATCCAGCTCCCTGCCTGTGGCCTGGGAAAGCAGTCAAGGACAGCCCAAAGCTTTGGGACCCTGTACCCGCGTGGGAGACCCAGAAGAGGCTCCTGGCTTCGGATCGGCATAGCATCGGCTGTTGCGCTCACTTGGGGAGTGAATCATCGAACGGAAGATCTTCCTCTCTGTCTTTCCTCTCTGTATATCTGCCTTTCCAATAAAAATAAAATAAATCTTAAAAAAAAAGTTTTTGGCCATTATTTTTTCAGGTAGGCTTGCTGTTTTATCAAAGGTCTGTGTTGCTTTGGACTCCCATCGTGCACCTGTCGGTGTGTTTGATAGACCAGGAAAGAGAGGGGCACAGAGAGCAGCCTCCAGTTCACTCTCCAGGTGGCTCTCTTCAGGATCCGAAGCATGTGCCCCATTGCCATTTGCCTTCCAAGGTGTATTAATGGCTGGAACCTGGGTCAGAAGTGAAGGGGGCCAGTGTCGTGGCTCTGTAGGTTAACATGCATCTGCAAGGCTGGCAGCCCGTTTGGGTGCCTGTTGTGTCCCAGTTTCTTCACTTCCAAATTAGCTCCATGCTAATGCACTTGGGAAAGCAGCAAATGATCCATCTACTTGGGCCCCTGAATGTATATGGGAGACTTGAGTGGAGTTCCAGGTTCCTGGCTGTGGCCTGGCTCAGTCCTGACTGTTGCAGCCATTTAGGG